GAGGGCAGCTGGGGTCAGGGAGGGCAGATGGCGTCAGGAGGGAGGGCGGCTGGGGTCTGGGAGGGCAGCCAGTCTCCCCGGGGCAGCAGTACTCAACCTCAGCCAGTCTCCAGTGGGAGTTCATTTCTCCAACGATTTTCCTCCTGATATTTTCGAGAATGTGCTATGTGCTCTGTGTGCTGGCCACTGGTGGACACGTGGCAGTTCTGTGTGGCATCAGTTGGAGAGAGACTTGCTACACTGATTCACTGTGACCACCCGCCCCCCCCCCCCCCGCCCCCCGCCCCCCGCCACCGTGTGCTGCACCAGCCCGGGGATGGTGGGTGGGTCTGGTGGGCTCCTCTCTCGGCCAGGGTTTGCAGCCCGAGACAGTAGGCGCCCGCGGCAGGACCCAAGCCGGGGGTCCTGAGTGGTCGCCAGCCCGGACAACCCGCGGTCCAAGTCGGACTTTTGGTTGACAAGCAGGGACTCAGGGTCACCACGTGGGGGGCGGGGTTAGCCAGACCGCTGGGGGGGGGGGGGGGGGAGGGGAGACAATCCCCGGGGGGGGGGTGGGGTGGCCCCCCCAACCCCCGGGGGCAGGGACCCCTGCCACAACCCCCACCCCGAGGACCGCCGGGTCTCCTGGGCTCACTCCGGACGCTTCTTCACAGGTGCCTGTGCGTGTGGGAGCGAGGACGAGCCTCTGGTGAGTTCTCTTCCCTTGGCGCCCTGGCGCCAGAGCCCGCACCGTGCTGGGGGAGGGCCCGGGCCGCTGCAGGGCTCAGCGGGGCTGGGAACCCGCCAGGGAGTCTGAGCGCAGGGACACCGGGCCCCAGGAAGGGTCACGGAGCGCGGGCCCTGCCCGGCTTCGCTCCGGCTTGGCGTCTGCACGTGCACGTGCACCGGCGCGCGTCCGCGTGTCTGCCGCGGGACCGCCGACGCCAGCCCTCTCCCTACAGAAGGAGGGCCCCTCTGCGGCACCCGTGTTCACCGTCGACTACGGAGAGCTGGATTTTCAGTGGCGAGAGAAGACGCCCGAGCCCCCCGCCCCCTGCGCCCCCGAACAGACCGAGTATGCCACGATCGTCTTCCCCAGCAGGCCGGGCTCCCCGGGGCCCCTGCCTCTGAGGCCCGAGGAGGGACCCTGCCCTTGGCCCCTCTGACCGGCTTCCTCGGCTGGCCTGCGTCCTTCGGAGCCTCCGCCAGGGGCGCCAGCGGACCCTTCCCCGGAGGAGCATGCCGTGGGGAGGCTGTGGGGACTGCCAGCTTGGCTCGCCTCTCGCCGCTCACGTGACCCCGGGGGTAGGAGGTGTCCCCGTCCCGTGCCGTGCGGCCGGCCGTGTGGCGGTGGGGAGGGGACTCGGGGCCGAGCCGGCCCATCGCTCCCCAGATCTGCTGCTCTGCACCTCCACACACGCCTCCCTGCGGGGGATGGTCTGGCGCTGCGGCTCTCCCTGACCCACCAATGCCTCCCAGGGGAGCTCCAGGACATGGGCGCACAGGGTCCCTGGTTGGGGACTGTGCCGGTGAAGTGCCCCCACGGCCAAGAGATGCAGCACACGGGTGGAGGGACACACGCATGGGGTCCAGGACCTCGTGCCCCTCCGGGCCTGGAAAAGAGCTCCTGGTGTGGGGAAGGGCAGGCCGTCCGTGGGCCACCCTCATGCACAGCCCAGCCCACCAAACAGCCTGGGGGCAGGGGGGCAACAAGGGGAACGGGCCCCAGCTGGGGAGTCGCCCTCCCCTCGGTGCCCATGCATGGTGCTATTTATGGGGGCCTCCGCCCGGCACCCCCCGGGCCCACTGTCACGGCGGGGGGGGCAGTGGTACCCAGGTGTCAGGGGCTGTCTTAGGTTCCACACACACCTCAGAGCCCCTCACCCTGTTCTATTATATTATAATTAAATACTGACGAAAACTCTAAGAAAAGCCTAGGTTCTCTCCTGGCCTTGTTGGGGTGGCAGTGGCGGGGGGAGGGGGGGGTTCCGCCTCAAATAGAGGACGCAGCCAGCCCTCCTCGGGCCTGGCCCTCACCCACCTGGCCGGCGCCTTCTCTGTCCCAGGAACACACGGAGCCCCGAGGCCCCTCATCTCCGTCCCCCCCATCATGTACCACTGCCCCCTCAAGAAGTCTGTCCCCAGACCACCTCAGCCAAGAGGCTGCGTCGGTATCTGTCCTGCTCCAGCCCTCCCCACAGGCCCCCTGCACCTGACCGTCCCTCCCAGGCAGTGTCAGTGCCCTGGGCTGGGGTCAGGCCAGGCTGTGAGCGAGTGGGTGCAGCCCCACTGGAGACACACGGCCCTTCTCAGATGCAGAGGGGAGGTCTGTTCCATCCTCCGGGAAGAAGACACAGCACCACCATCAGGGGCCTTCAGTTCTTGTCCCTGACTGCAGTGACGAACACCCCCCAATCCTGTCCTTCCCCGTGAGCCTCGTCCAGACCCTCAGGGACCAGGAACACAGCTGCCCCCCCACCCAGCCCTCAGGGCTCACACCCTGTGCCCGCCACGCTGGGGTCCTGTCCTGGGCGGGCAGGAGCTAGAATCACCAAGTCCGGGACAAGGCGAGGACATCAGGCAAGGTCACACATGAGGGAACAAACACTGCCGGGAAAGGCTGCGGAGGGCACAGGCTTGCATGCCTGGAAAACCCAGTAGCTTCTGCGGAAACACGAATAGGGCAATAAGAAAATGGGGTCAGGTGGCACACACAAAATTAACCCCCAGAAATAAATGGCTTTCATACATTCAAACAGCCGCCCCCTGGAAGAGAGAGTGATAGAGAATCTAAAGTTATGCCCGAGGCGTAAATTTAACAAGAAATGAGCCGACCCGCAGGAGGACAGCTTGGCCGCAGGTGTGGGCCCTCCAGGCGGGGACACGCGGTGCCATCGAGACACCACCCCCCCCCCCCAGGTTGACTGGTAGGTGTGACCATCCCAGTGAAAACCCACTGCGACTGAAAAGCTCGTATGGAGAAGCAAACAAGAAGAAACCTAGGAAACCAAGAGAAGGAGAGCAGTTGTATCAGACCTCCAGCTCGAAACGGTGGTGCTCACACACGAGAGGCGGGACACTGGGAAAGGACATTCTGCAACAGAGGGCATGAGCAGCTATTCGAAAAGCATCAGGTGGACTCCGTTCGTGTGCCAGGGACTTGCACAAATCCAAAATACAAGGGTAAGACGGAAACCCGAGCAGACACAGAGGAAGACGGGTGAGGTCCTTCACGCTGGAGCAGGAAAGCCTCCCCACACTGGCTCGAAACCACAGCACCATTAGAGAGATTGACACATTCAACTCTACAAATTGGGGGAAACACTTTAATGTGGCAAAAGGAAAGTCAGAAGCAAACCAGGGGAAAGTATTTGCAATATTATTACACAAAAGATTAAGACTCCAGTTATGTAAAGACCTAAAATACGGAAAGAGCAAGGCCGATGGAAGGTACGATGGAAAAGTGAGCAGAAGATATGACAAGGCGGCACCACCAACTCACACGCCCACGCGCACACATACGTGCACACGCATGCACACGGACACGCACGTAACCACACACGCGCGCGTGTGTCCCATCTACGTATACTCAGATCCCTTAAGCAACCAAAGGATGTTCAATTTTACTCATAATAAGAAAAACGCAGATTACGACTTACAAATCACCCGTGGGCAAAACTCTGACCGCGTGACAACACGGTGCTGGCGAGGACGTGGAGAGACAGCCCTGGAGCGGCTGGGGGCGACAAGGCCGGACTGGAGGACTAGGCACCAGCCAGTGGTTAGAGAAAATGTGCCCTTTGACCCCTAAGCCCCGCCTGTAGAACTCCTCCCGGGGGTGAGCCAGCCGCCAGGACCGCGCGTGCCCCAGGCAGGCAGCAGGAGTGGGGGGAACCCCAGGGGCAACTCACTGCCCCCCCAAAACAAGGAACTGAGCTGGGGGCTCTACTCAAAGACAAGGGAGCACTTTGAGCACGAAAATACCAATTAAAATTAACATATTTTGAGTATGTTTTAAAAGAGATAAGTTCGTATTCTAAAAAAAGAAGAAGGAGGGGGAGAAAAAAGAAGACAGAGGAGCACGCAGCAGAGAGGGAAGGAAGCGGTGGCCTCACCAAGCCACCGGCCGGGCCACCCACTGGCGGCAGCGCCACGGCTCAGACAAGAAGTGAGAGAGCGCGGGCACAGTCAGCACTTTGATGCTCGCCTTCCCGGAACACGGCCCCTGCAGCCCGCCTCCACTCATTTTTTCCGTGCCCTGCTCTGCCCCAGTCCCGTGTGTCAACGGCCCTGGCTGGGGCAACTTGCCCATCCCCCCCCCCGCGCCCCCCCCCCCCCCCCCCCACCCAGCGGTTCCCTCTCTGCCAGCCTTGCTCATCTCCTGGAGGCTGGCCTCAGGAGGACCGGTGGGGGCTGGGCTCTTCAGATGAGGCCTGAGACCCCGGCACAGGGCACCCAGGGCGGAAGGCATGTGGCCACCCCGACAGCCCGGGGCCACCAGAGCCCCACACTTGTAGCCCCTCTGGCCAGGAGGACGACCTCTCCCACTACCTGTGCTCACCTTTCCTGGTCTGCAGAGCTGGGGGCAAGGGCTGGCCTCCTCCCGATAGAAATGCAAGGTCGTGTGGGACAGGAGGACAGGAGTCTGTGCCACACCCAGAAATCCAAGGTGGGGGCCCTGACAAAGGTCTCCTGGCGGGAGAAGAGTACAGACCCCAAAGGCAACCTGCCCAGGGGATCGGGAAGGAGGGGCTGGCGGCCCTCACTCCAGGGTCCCAGCCCCAGTGCGTGGTAACCAATCCCGCGTGGACAGGGGCATCTTTGCGCCTGGTGCAGCTCCTGAGATTCTGGAGAATTCGGGATGGGGTGGGGAGGTGTCTTCCTGAGGGCAATCAAGGCGGCATGGCCAGCATGATGTTGACTCCAATCGCTGGAACCCCTCAACTGCTGCTCAACCGCAGCCCCCTGGGGGCCCTGGACCCTCTGGCTCCGGTCTGGTGGCCCCACCCAATGATGGGGGCCCATGTCTGAGGCTCCTGAGCTGACCGGCTCACAGTGAGGCTGATGACATTGTCACGAGTCCACTGGCCACTTGGATGCTCTCAAGATTATACAACCATTGTCAGGCACTTTCTTCTTTCTCTTTTCTTACTGTCAGAGTGTTTATGGCTATACTTTTTTTTAAATTAGTAGACATATTTTTTTTAATGTTTATTTATTCTTGGGAGAGACAGAGACAGAGACAGAGCACATGCGGGGGAGGGGCAGAGAGCGAGGGAGACACAGACTCCGAAGCAGCTCCAGGCTCCGAGCTGTCAGCACAGAGCCCGACGCAGGGTTCGAACTCACAAACCGTGAGCTCACGACCTGAGCCAAAGTCGGATGCTCAACCGACTGAGCCACCCAAGCGCTCGAATTAGTAGATATATTTTAAAGCGGTTTTAGGTTTACAGAACTGAGCGGTAAGTCTCAGTACGCCACCCCCATGCCCCCCGCACACACAGTGTCCCCGAGGTTAGCATCCCCCACTGGTGGCGCACATCTGTCCTAACTGATGAACCAGCAGTGATCTGGTACCTCACATCAGGGCTCACTCGTGTGATGTGCACTCTGTGGGTTTGGACAGATGTACGGTGACATGTACCTACCATTATAGTAGGCACTCGCTGCCCTCACTGCCCCAAGAACCTTCCGTGCCCCACACACACCCCTCTCCTCCCCACAACCTCCGACAGCCACCCATCTTTTCACTGTCTTCCAAGGTCCGCCTTCTCCAGGATGCCATATGGAATCGCACAGTACGTAACCCTGTCACACTGGCTTCTTTCACTTAGTGACGCACCTTCGCGGTTCCTCCATGTATTTTCACGGCTCGATAGCGCGTTGCTTTTTGGCTCTGAGTAATCTCCCGCTGTCTGGATAGACCAGTTTGTCCGTTCACCTCCTCAAGGACATTGATTTCTTCCAAGGTTTGGCAATTCTGAATAAAGCCGCTATAAACACCATGTGCAGGTTTTTGTGTAGACATGGGTTTTCAACTCATTTGGATAAATACCAAGGAACACAATTGCTGGATCCTACGGCAAGAGTTTGTTCAGTTTTGTAAGAGACGGTGACGCTGTCTTCCCACGTGGCCGCCCCGCCCGCGGCAGGAGAACGCTCCTGCTGCTCCACCCCTCGCCAGCAGGCGGCGCTGTCAGCCTTCCGGACCCGCCGCGCTGATAGGCTAATCGCGTCCTGCTCTTTGTTTCACTTGGTCTTCCCCATGGGGGCATCTTTCCATATGCTCACTTGCCAAAGCATGCAAACAAGTCTTAAAACTCCCAATGAGAAGGCAAACAGCACAGTTAAAAAAGGGGCGAAGGCTCTAAACAGACACCTCACCAAAGACGAGCTGCGGCCACTTTGGAAAACAGGCTGGGCAATTTCTTGCAAAGCGAAACTATCCGATAAACCAGCAGGTATCCTGAAATGTTTGGCGGAATTCACGGGGAAAGCCATGTACTCCTGCAGTTTTCCTAGAATGCACATATTTTTTTTATTTATTATTTTTTTTTAATGTTTTATTTATTTTTGAGAGAGAGACAGAGTGCGAGCGGGGGAGGGGCAGAGAGAGAGAGGGAGACACCGAATCCGAGGCAGGCTCCAGGCTCTGGGCTGTCAGCACAGAAACGTCGCGGGGCTCGAACCCACTAACCGCGAGATCATGACCTGAGCCGAAGTCGGACAATCAACCTACTGAGCCACCCAGGTGCCCCAGTGTGCGGAGATTTTAAATTCCAGATTAACTTCTTTAATAGGATTTTTCAGGCTATTTCGTCTTTAATAAGTTGTATTTTTCCAGGAATTGTCCATTCATATAAATGGTTCCTAGTATCTTCTTGAAACCTGTGGACATCTGTAGGGCCCTCCTCGTGTGTCCCATCTCGTTCCTGATATTGGATTTGTGTGTTTTGTGTCTTTTATGACCAGCCCCTCGAGGGGGTTATCAGTTTTACTAGCTTTCTAAAAACCCAGCTCTGGCTCTGGCCATTCCCTCTGGTGTCTGAAGTCTCCTGTCCCTCTAGTTCTGCTGCTCGCTTGGGCTTCACTCACTGCCACTTTCTAAGGTGCTGGCATCACGGCGCCTCCCCCCACCCCCGCCCCCACGGGACCCACCTGGCTCAGCTCAACTCACAGATTGCCTGCAGCACTCACACAATTAACTTCAACGTCTTTTTCCATTCTCACTATAGCATCTTCTTTGAACCAGGGGTAATTCAGAATTGTGTTTCTCAATTTTCAGACACAAGATTGGAAAAAAACAAATTTTTTTTTTGAGAGACACATAGAAGCGAGGAAGGGGGAGGGGGAGAGGGAGGGACAGAATTCCAAGCTCAGCGTGGAGCCCAGCGCAGGGCTCGGTCCCAGGAACCCCGAGATCACGACCTGAGCCGGAATCAAGAGTCGGATGCTGAACGACTGAGCCGCCCAAGTGCCCCCACAAGGAAGATTTTAAGTTTCCTTTTGTTTTCATTTCCAGCTCAATTTCACTGTACTTTTCAATCCTTTGAAGTCTTCTAGAGACTTGACTTCATAATCCAATATAATGTCAATTTTCACACCTACGTGTACTCCAACAGACTGTAGATTCTGTTCTGTGCGGTGCTGTGCGTGTGTCCACTGAGTGAAGCTTCTTGGGCAAGTTGGCCAAAGCTTCTGTGTGCAGCCTGATTTTGTCTGCTCACTCTGTCAGTCATTGAGACTTGTATCTACAATTTTCTACTGTAACTGTGGATCTAGGTCTCCTAGAAGTCTGCCCACTTTTGTTTCTTATTTCAAAGCATACTATGAGGTATGTACAAATGGGTCGGACCAGAGAGCCCGTCAGGAAGGCCGGCAGCGCTCCAGACGCTTGTCCCCGAGGCCGGGTGGCTTGGGGCCCGGCGGCAGGTTCTGCAGGACCTCACCAAGGGAGAACATGCAGAAGGAGATCTCCTCGTAGGAGACCCTGGCCCCACTCTCAAACAGACAAGCAAAGGTCAGGGCTCCCTTGACAGTTGGCCCGACGGATGCCAGATCAGAGTAGCCACTGGGCCCCTCATAGATCACCCAGGGCTCCGTCCAGCTGTGGGGATCCAGGGGGGACCGGCTCAGATAGATTCCCATATGGAGCCGAGCCCTGCGCCCCACCGGGTGGGAATACAGCAGCCAGGTGGGGCTCTGAGACAGGGTGGCAGGGGGCCCGGGGTCCTTCGAGGTCCAGGCCGCCATGATCCCACTGAGCCCAGGCCCCAGGCCAGGCTCTTCAGGGCTGTCCCTACATCCCTCCATCCCGCTGGGCCCCTGGGCCCCTTGGGTGTCTCCAGTACCCTCCTCTGAGGGTTCCTGGACTCCAAGACAGAGGTGTGGAGAGTAGGAGTGGCTCCCGGCACCCACTGGCCATCTACCATTCCTCGGCCTGCTAAAGAGCGGAGCAGGGAAGCCAAGGACGCTGCCCTGGCAGCCCCGGGCGGTCTCGGCCAGGGCGGGCACCAGCTCCCCGGGCAGGAAGGAGGTGCCCTCATCCGCACTGAGCGCCTGCACGCGGCTCCCCAGGGGGCTCCGGGCGTTGCAGTACAGGATGTGGCCGGCCTGCCCGCTGTCCACCGCGGCCAGCTGGCACTCGCCCGAGCGAAGGTTGGGCACCAGGCCTCCGTGGCGCCAGGTGCGACCGTGGTCGTCACTGTAGAAGGTGAAGGCATGCGGGCTGGTCCTGCAGATCTTGCCAAAGCACTCCCGCCGGTCTACGTGGTACGTGTAGGCAGGCACCAGCAGGCGGCCTGAGCGCAGCTGGATGCCGTGGCCCGGGCCCACAGCAAATGTGGCCCAGTCTGCAGAAGAGGGACTGCTGATCATCCGAGCTGGGAGGCAGCCTTGGCCGAAGCCAGACGCCACCGCCCTGGGGGTCAGGGACGATCTGGAGCCAGTGCCTCAGATGCGGGGATAGCTCATGAGGAAATGGGGGACTGCCCCCCACCCACACTCCTGCTGCCCACTCCGAATCCCCCAGGGCTGGACAAGCCTCTCTTCGCCACTAGCGGGAGCAGGGAGCCCGGGCAGGTGGCCAGGCTCTCCGGACGGCAGCAGGTAGCTAGTCCCTGGGGGGGGGGGGGGGGGGGGGGGGGGGGG